TTTGCTGGAGTTCCACAAGGGTTTGTCGTACGTCCGATATCCTCAAGTCGCTACTCTTTGGGTTTTAAAACCAGAATGTCCATTCAGTAGCGATGTCTCTCCACTTCCCTTTCTATCAAATTTGCGTCCATAGAAACTGACGTTACATCCCCCAATGTTCTTTTCTAGGAGTCATACAACTCGTGTATTTTCATTTCGTAATAGTAGGGTTTGAGTAACGGGTAAAGTTTCCCTCAGGCAACCTCAAACCTGTTCACACATTGGCGAACGCCTCCGGAAATGAAATCGCCCTGTTCATATTCCCAGCACTACGAGCTGAGGAGGTGCATGTATACATGATCGAACGTCTGACCACACACCTCTTCGCTACGCTCCTTTCACCCACTAGCGGAGAAAGGAGGTATTTCTTAGGGGACGAAACAGGCTATTTTTTTAAATTGTAGCTCAGAGGCGTCATTTAGGCTTGAGGATCTTTTTTTAATTCAAGTAAATCTACTAACATGGGACAGCCGGCTTTACGTCCCCCCTTACTCCCTTCCAAAGTCGTAAGAAAGATTTTTTTCACCCTTAAAAATCCACGGCTTGGATCGGGTTAGAACCCGCCAACATGGGTATAACAGTCCGATACGCCAACTGTCGCACCATCGCCGCGCGCGACCAACAATTAGCAATAACGTATCAGTGAAAAATAAAAATTGTTTTCCGACCGCAGCACTACGAGGCAAGAGGCTCTCCCCGCTGGAACAGAGCCGCGCGGCTGACGGCGCGCCGTGTCGCAACGCCGCGACCTCGAGCGGCAGCCGCTGACGCCGCACACGTTGCGCTAGGCGCAACCGTCTGCGCGCCGTCTGCTCGGCCGCGAGCCGCCGCCGCTGCCTCAGCTCTTTCGCAGACGCCGCCACCGCGAGACGTTGATAGAGGAAGAGGGAAAACGGTTGGTTGGAAGGTTGTTAGTGACTCCGAGCGAGTCATCTGCTACGATCAATAGTCCAGCAAAGTGTGGAGCATTTTTGGTGGTGATGGTGTTCTACCCTCATTGGATGGTGAGACCCGACGCCGACGTAACGTCGGCTAGCGGAATTTTCCCCAACGAGATATTCCTACCAGCGGGGCACCGCCCCAGCCGGGGCAACCTCTAAGCTCCCGAGTCACGACCGGTCTCCCGGCATGTTGGTAGTGCAGTGCATGTTAGGGTGTAAGTAAGGACAAGGAAGGGGAAGGAAAGAAAGCGCGCGGTCCAATGACCCGTTTGTTAAGGTACTGCTCCGGCATTCCCATGGTGTTGATCGGAAAACTACCGATCAGAGCAGCCGGCCGCTTTATTCTCCTCCAGACGACTGATTTCGACCTAGCTAGCTGGCTAGCGTTGAAAACCCTGCCGCCATCGGAACTGGAACCTAGGACCTCCCAGTTAGAAGCACTGCAGTAACATCAGTTGATGCCCTGAGCCACCTTCCTCAGTGGAAGAGAGAAAAACTATGATTGTAATTTCTTGTTATAAATTCGAACTGGATTATTTATTTATGAGATGAATCAGCTAAAGAGATAATTAAAATACCCAGATGTGGCTCGTATGCTAAAACCGTAAAGACTAACAAGACTACGAAGACGCCAGAAATGACGAAAACGTAGTCAACAAAATCGACGAAGACCTGTAAGAAATCGATGAGGAGAAAGAAGTCAAAGAGGATAAAAAAAATCGAAAATGTGAAGGGGAGAAATAAGTAAATGACGAGCGAGACGTCAAAGACGAGGAAGACACAAAAACGAGGAAGAGACCAAAACAAGGAAGACACAAAAAAAGAAGAAACAAAACCGAAAAAGACAACAAAATCGTGGTCGTTGAAGTCGAGGATAAAGACGAAATCATGAAAGTGTTTCGACGGACACAAAGCAGAAGAAGGCGACTTTAAGCCACGGAATCCCCTATTTTTTTTCTTAAGCCGGCTTCGTCCGGGCGGGAGCGGCGACGACAATGCCCCTAGCGGTAACGCGGGTGAGCGGGCGCGGCGGGATGTCGATGGCGGCGGCGGAGGCGGCGGCGGCGGCACCGGCGGCGGCGAAGAGAAAGTGAGGGGCGGTTGACCTACTGAAGACCACCTCTACTAAGGCAGCTGCTGCCGGTAGACGACCAGCACTGCGACTTCTCTCCGTTCGCAAACTCACCGCCGAAATGTCTCTACTGAACGTAAGGTAAGCTGAATATGGCCGTCCTGCTGAGAAAGCCTCAAGTCAAAAATTTCAAATTTTACAGAAGGTACAAAAAAACTGTTTCTTTTTGTTACTTTCAAGGTGTATTTTTAAGAGTATTTTTGTAATTGTAATTTAAATTTGTGTGTGTAATTTTATGTTTATATGGCAAGCCTGGGACTAAAGTGGTCTATGGTACGAATCATAATGTGACTTAGACACTTACGAATTGACTATTAATTAAAACCATCTGCCAGTACGAAAGTGGTACTTTTATTATGCGGCATCTACAACGACAAATGACAGATCACTTTAAAATGTATAGATGCTCACCTGTTCGGATCAAATTTACCAAAACCAGGATTTTCGCCAAAATGTTTCATAGACCACTTAAGTTCCAGGTCAGTCATATATGGTCTTTAAGAGATTTGGACGTAAAACAAGTAGTGTTTTATAGAATTAAAATTTAATTCAAACAATAAAATTAAAGGCTTTCTCTCTTCCAGTGGCGGTACATCAACTTACGTGGTTTGGTGGACGAAAACGAAATAAATTATTTGTAAGCTACGTATTGAAGTGCACGTAAACGACCCCATCACAACTAGAGTTCAAGTAGTTTAAGTACGTACACATACACACACACACATAATATATATAAATAATAAATAATATATAGCTATATTATATAATATATATATATATCTATAATATATAAACTAACACTATATATATAAATCATATAATACACACTTTTAAGAATACAATACGAAAAAACTGACAATGTTTTTTTCGTGATTGAAAAATGAATAAAAACTGATAAACGTATCGAACATATGATCAATTTTGCATCGCATTGAGAGTACGGACGTGTTTGTTAGTCTCTTTGCATTTACACGAACGCTAGCAAGTAAAATCGATACAGAAAAATATTTACGTTCCCAAACAGATGCAGCTGACCACAAAGGACAAAGCGATTCCAGGATATTCAAAATATTCTCAGAAGCCACCGTTCACGGGACTTTCCAGAAAGACCCTCAATTCAGTGAATTGTAAATGGGCACCGTTTTAAGTTAACATTGAAAGCATTCAAATCATCCATTAACAAACGTTTTCCCAAAGCATTCCATATCGCCCTAATGGTTTAGAGAAAACATAGAAATTACACATACATGCAAATTGCACAGACATACGGACAAGGTAATGGGACTTCTTTGAAAGAACGCCACAAGGAATAAATGGATACTAATCAAAATTAACTTCAAAAGCATTCGAATCGTGAATTATCTAAAGCCTTCGCAAAGCGTTCCTTTCTCGCTTAACGGTTTAGAGAAACATGGGAATCACACGAATATTCACGCTTGAATTAATTAAAGGGTTCCCGAGAATACGCGAATTGGTTTTCGATCGATGAATCCTACAAAACTAAGGATAATGAAAGAAATTTGGCTCAACTTTATATGAAAGATGAATTTTACATACGGCAGAGGGAGCACGTTACACTGAAATGAGTGAAACAAATTGGAAAGAAGAAAAATCCTTTCCCACCAAGTGGCGATTATTTGCACTAAAGATAGATTCAAATATTATTCCTAATTTAATACATTTTAGCCATTGAAGTATAATAACTCAACATAATAGCATTAACAGGTTTTTAAAAAAAGTTAAAGCCATCCCAATCTTGGAATCTAGTTGAAAGCGAAAATAAACAAACGGAGAGAACTCCCGTAATAATTTGGTATCTTTATTATTTGTTAAGTACCTATTGAGAAGTTATTATTCCAAACCACTGGAAATTCGTTTATCCTGGTTCGCTAAATCACTTCTTATTCACAACACAATTTATCCTCATTAACGGAAGCATTGTGACCTTCTCATTTCCGTATTCTTCAATAACTAGCATCTTCTCGCTTACTCCGCTAAATAAACGTATATGCAAGTTCAGAATCTAAAATGTTTGAATCTTAAGTCCTCATCACATATTCTTCAAGGTAAGTAGTCTCAAATTATATTGCACTCTATTGCAACGACTAGCCTCAAAACATTTCACTCTTCTCTCATTGTATTTCACAATACCTTGTTGCAGAATACAATCAGATTCTCAATTTGAATGCCAGATGTACAGAAGGATGGCAGGGCAGCATGTCTCACCTGAAACAAAATGAAGAAAACAAATTACAATAAAATAAAAAGCAACTTAGTACTCACAAAAAGTTGGTATAGAGTTAAACCAAGTTGATCAGGATCCTACAGAAACGTAACTCCACTGCAACTGCGTGAATATGTAATTAAATCAGTATCGGAAAAACGTTTTATGATATCAACATATAATATCGAGCAGTATTATATTCAAATGTATTCATATTTCAATTTATTATACTCATACTACAAATTCAAGTTAAGTGAATAACATTCATAATTACCATGCAATTGATGCAATTTTCCACTTTTGTTGTCATATGATAAGCTTGTTAAATGTGTTACAAATAACATCGTTCCAATAAGTTTATTATCATTAATTTTTGAATAGGTTTATGGATGGCAAAATATTTAATTATGCTTCTGCCCACCTATTCATTTAAGGAAAACGTCAAGGTACAACTAATGGACTCAATTACCATCACAATTGTGTTAAAGATGCAGAGATCTAATTCTACCACTCCTTCCAGCGAGTCTCACTGGTGGCAATTATACTCCGATTTAAACATGGTGGCACTTCACGGACATGAGCTGAAAGGGGAGGGGGACATTCTAATCTAATCGGGAGCTCCAATACCAAACATTAAGGTTGTAAAGAAACTCATTGGATGACAGTGCCCCCTCTCCGTCCAGCTCGCTACCTTGAAGTGCCTTGAGGTTTAAATATAATACATTTCAATTTAGTGGCACTTGAAAGTCACGAGCTGTAAGGAGAGAGAGGCACTGCCTTCCAATCGGAAGCTCCGATACCATAAAAGGAATTCGCAACGATGCTCCCGATTGGATGTCAGTGTCCCCCGTTCCGTTCAGCTCGCGATCTTGAAGTGCCACTACGTTTAAATCGGAGTATAATTGTCACCTTGGCATCACTGACTGCGATGCAGCATCTGCAGTCCTTTCCTCCCGCTGTGGGCCCGGTAACACTCCGAACCGTGTAAAACTACCTCCCCCTCCCCCCAACGTCTCCGTACGCTCACCGAAGAGCGGAGTGAGAGTGAAGAGAGAGCGGAAGGTCGATGAGAGAGAGAGAGAGAGAGAGAGAAGGAGAGAGAAATAGAGCAGCGGAAGGGCGCCGGATCGATGCCCGTCGCGTGCAACCGGCCCCGTCTGCCCGCCCCCGCCACTAATTGCTCGGACGCCCGGGGATCCTCGCTTCCATCCTCGTCCTACTTCTTTGCCTCCTCGATCCTCACATCGCGCACTCCGTCGCTCTTCTGGCTCGGCCGGTCACGCTTTCAGATGCCATTAGGATTCACTCATTAGTGATTCCGGACGCGTCAACAGCTAACGACATAAGCCCCGTAAGTGGAGTGCTTGTTTTTCCTCGGGTGTATAGTGAGATTTCTCCCCTGTGGATGGCGAGATCTGGCGCCGACCTACCGTCGGTTATCGAGGTTCCCAACCAGGTGTCTCCCCCCAGCGGGGCTGGGAGAAGCTGTAAGCCCCAGACCGGTCTCTCGGCTTGTGTGGTAGTGTATTAAAATAAGTGTATGTGTGTGTAAGAAAGGGGTGAGGACGGGTTAAGGAAGAGGTAGGAAGAATCGCGCGCGGTGAGACCCGTCTGTTAGGGTACTGCCCCGGCATTCACCGGGGGATGATTGGAGAAACCACAGAAAACTACCGATCAGAGCAGCCGGCCGCTAGACTGCTCCATCAAACAGCGATTGAATTCGACGTTGCTGACAATTGAATTTAGTTTACATTTGAATAGTAGTTGACTGGACCTCAAGACATTTGACTTTACCTTACGAGTAATAACGGATAAAGCGGATGTTTATCCGTCCTCTGCGAATGTCTTCATGTGAACACGTTCGTGTTTGTTGGTTTCTGTAATTTTCCACTTGAAACAGTTTCATCCTAATAAATCCTAGAGCTAATTCTGTTCTTCTCGCGATATTGCAAACGGGGCCAGAACTGAACAGTGTTGTCGTGGCACGTGTGATCCCTTTCCTGGGCTGCTAACAACAGCAGCGCAGTCCAGAAATGTCAAAGCGCTTTGTACGTGCCTCAACTGTTTAGATAAAGACACCGGGGTCTTTAAGTGAATCGCTTCGTAATACTTAATGAATGCAATTACTTCCGGGGTCACGTTGGGTTTTCGTGCACGGCAGAAGAGGCAGCTGTCCTGAATGACGATATTTCCATCAAATTTGCATTCGGCTGTTACATCTCGCAAAATGGCGGCCCAGTTGATAATCGGTTTGTAGTGGAATAAGGGCTTCTTCGTCAAAAAAATGAAAGATTCTTTAACGGATTCGTATTCGGAAACGAAATGTTCTGGGGTAGTTTTTAAAATTGTTTACGACATAAGGAACGCTTCATTGTGCCGCATAACATTAAAAATACTTTCTATTCATTTTACTTTAAGTGTAAGAGGGAAAATGTTCTAATTCACTGTATGATAGGTTACAAATATAGCAAAGCTCATTGAAACGAATTTATTAAAATCCACTCATGATAAATCTCCAGTACATATCTTACACATTTCAAAACACATGAAATATGAACGAACTATATTCAAAAATAAAATAAATTAACTTGCCTTGACAGATGGGCGCTTTTAATCCTAAAGAGTATTTGAGAAGTAATTTTAACCAAAATAATTTACCTACACTTTTGTATCTGAAGAATTTTGTAAAGTACTTTAACCGATTAGTTGTGTGTCAAACACGCACCCCCGTGCTTTGCACGTAAATCAAAAGGAGTGTAGAAGGCGGAAGCTAAAAAAACAAACAAAAAAGGAACTGATGGATGAAGCAGATAAATCATAAGGGCCATAAAAGTGATATGTTTATGGTGTTGTTATTCGGATTGACACACGCTAAATTAATAGTACGTGAAATTAATCAAATTTAATGTCGCAAGTGCATATCTAAGTATCTATCAGATCTGTCAAAATGATGAAAGTAGCTACAATATTGCACGGCATACATCAAGAGAGAAACAATTTCTGAGCTGTCATCGAAGATACCTGAATGTGAAAACATAATGACGTACTTGAAACTTCTCTCTTACAAGTACACCCAAGCAATGAACATAAAATAATGTCAGTGAACAAGACAGAATATGACATCTCTTGAGTATTATTAATGATGGAAAACACTTTCAAAAATATTACGTATTTATTCCTAACAAAAAAATGTACAAATTTGTGGTAAAATACTTCATAACATCTATCAATGTAGTTTGAGAGAAGATAATTATTTTCGACGTGTTTTAATACTTTCACATAAGAATGGTAAAGGAAACAAGTTGAAATATTGGAATATATTGCAATTTTAAAGCACTAATGGAAAAACACGGTGTCGAAAAGTCATAACCACAACCTAAACAGGTCTCTCAAAAGCTGAAATCTAGGAAAAAAATAAATATTATATATGTATACAGTTCAACTTTAAAATACATGACACAATATACGTGTCCCTTCTTTAATTTGGTATTCACGAACGGTTGCGATTTAATCTTTACTTCCTGCGATTGTTCCACCCATAAAATAAGGTGTGAAAAACCGACTGAGTGAAAACAATTTCAAATATTTACGCTCTCAAACAACAAAACAACACAACGCTGGTTGTTGTTTTTTTTGTCCAAACGGTTACGAATGCACCCGCGCGGAAGCAAATTACAGACTTCGAGTGATTGCAGCGGCTGCCGGAAGCGAGATCGTTTCAACAGCCGACGCACCGCGACACTCAGTTGTCACAGGAGCACGATTGTAAATAAATAAACAATCGGCTCCAATTGAAGTTAATCACGCAAAATGTGATTGATGTCGTCGAGTATCAGGTGCAGCGGTTCCGCAGGCGTGGAGTCGAATTGGGACGGTCGGTCAAAGGTCGAAAATTGCGGCGTAGGGCAAAGAAAAAAACAAGATTGCAAGGAGAAAAGAGTATTTACAACTCACAAACACATTAACATAAATAATTGAATTGAACGTGTTTCTAGAAAAAAGGGGAAATATTATAGTGCACTGGTTCCTGATAAACGATAAAAAGTTTCTACAGCGAACTGAATACGTATTTGGGTATTTTTTCACCACCTGCATGTAAGCATTTATCTCTGAGGAGTTGGAAAGGCCAAGAGTGTTTGCAGAAGTAATCCCGTCGGCGGTCTGATTTGTGTGTGTGTGTGTGTGTGTGTGTGTGTGCAGCGGAAGATTGAGTTATGTGCCGGAAAGCTAGGCGCCCAACCCCGGGTCCTGGTACCGGTAAACTATTCAAATATTTTGGCAGTATAGCACAGAGACTGCAAAAGTACTGAGAAAAACGTATCTCTTCAAATTTATTTCAACCTTATTTCACATGATGAGGCACAGGCCAACAGGCCTGCTTTCTGGGTTGATCAAGCAAATTTCGCTGCTATCTTTTCGCCTGGTAGCAGCCAAATAATATATTACATGGGAGAGGAAACAGACCATTAGCTCATATGCTACTTCTACTACCTTTAGAACTAATACCACACCCACTTTCACATCTTCCTACTCTGACAGTGACTATATTCCTACCGCCATCTGAAAGCCGACGGATAGGTCGACACCGGGTCGCGCCATCCGATACACTAAGCTTACGGGACAAGCGATCTTAGCCGTTGACGCGCCCAGAATCATTAACCACTCAAAAGATCAGTGAAGAAAAAGACATTCTTCCGGGCACGTCCGCCAAACGCGTAGCCGAACAAAAAGGGGCCGGCCTAGTTTTTTTCCGGGCGAACGCCGTTGCGTGCCCCGCCCGCGGAGGGAGTATGGATTTTCGGCCGCGCGGAGCGGGGGTGCTGGCCCACAGCGCAGAGGGGCGGGGCGCGGAGAGGGAGGGGGGCGGGGCCCGCGGGCTTTTCGCGGGCGCGGTAGCTGCCGGCGCGCCATGGTATCGAACCGGTTCACGCGGCCTTCGACCTTGTGGTCTCTCGCCGCCGCGTGGTCCACGTCCCCGCTCGCAGCGCCCCATCACC